AAAAAAAAAAAATCCAAGGATTACAAGTGGGTTGCTTCCTTTTTTTATCCCCAAAGAACAACCGAAACTAGAGAAGTAAAGGAAAACGACAAAAGAATTTCCTACTCCCAATCAAGTCTTCTTTGCACCACTCCCTTCCTCTTCCGGTGCAGTTTGTTTGTTTTATTAAGTGCTTTTGTTTGGGGCAAGAACGAAAGAGACGCAAACTCTGGCGAGCCAGCAGACCCCCAAGCCAAAGTCTCAGCCCCGCTCCAGAAACGCAGCCAGCGCCGGCGCAAACGCGGGGACCCTGGTGGAGAATGTAAACAAACGGGGCGCCGAGCCCTTGATCTTTATTTAAATAGAGTCTTGTTTATCGGTGTCATCCTAGGAGGATTAATTAGATACATCTCTTCACAATTTGGTGTCTGACACTCCATCTTAGGAATGCCTTATCACAAGGTGTTAATTGGGGCCACTCAGCCACTTACGTTTCTATTAAACACTGTGAGGGACTTTTCACAAGTATCAGGTTCTTTATACTGTATGGTGCAAAAATATACAGTACTTGAAATAGACTAGGGCCAGAGTCTGCTTTATCCCCGCTGTGATTTTGGATCTGGGGGCTTTCTAGGGGGCAGAAATGGGAGCGCACCGTTTTGAAATTCCACCGCATCCCCCACTAGCGGTGGCTGGACAGGGTGTAAGAAGGGAGGCAGGGCAGATGGGCAATTGCGCGTCCGAGCCCGAATCTCTCATCCACAGTGAACGTATATTAAAAAGCAAATCTTGTAAAATTCGGGGTGACTTTGCCCAAGAGTTTTGGGCAAGCGCTGTTGTAAAGGCAGCACTTGGGAGTTTGTGCCCCAGGTCACCGGCGGCGCAGGAAGAGCTGGAGCCCCAGAAGGATGGAGGGCTTGGGAGACCGGGCAGCCCAGGTACGAGCTCTCGGCAGCTTTAATTGCGCGCAGAAGGGGAGGAGGTCCCGGCTGATCGCTTGCCTCTCAGCAGCTAATCCTCTTAGCAGCTGCATTTCCGCGCCACGCAGTTAGCAAAATGACCCTCCCAGCCAGACCTTTACCCCAGGGTGAGAAGGGACTGGAGAGGTTTGCAAGCTGGGCTTGAAGCTGTCTGCAGATAAGCCTGGCGGGGTGTCTGGCGGGGGGACAAAGGGCCCTCCGCCCCCCTCCTCGGTTTAACTTTTCGGCCCGCCCAGGCTTCAGCAGGGGATGGGTCTTTGGTCCTCCCAGGGAATGTGTCCCAGCTAAATGGAGCTGGGCGCGGTCAGCCGCTGCCCGTGGCTTTGTGCCAAGCGTAGGCCAGCGGCGCAATCGAGTTCTCCTTTGTAAATGCCGCACCCGCCGCCACCCGAGCGGTAGACAGAGTCCCGGGCTAAGTTTGGCTGAGGGCAAGGGATGCGGGCCAGCAGCTACAGGGGCGGCCAGCCCACCCGAGTCGGTCCCGAGTAAGCCGCAGGTGGGAGCAGAAGCCTTAGCCGCGGGCGGTTTTTGTGCCCCGCAGCGACCCAGGGACCCGGAACTGGTAGGCGCACAAAAGACCGCGGGGTTCTCAGGGAACTTACCTGGGCTCAGAAATCGGTGGCCCCAAGTAAAGCTAGGAAACCGCCGAGAGAACTAAAGATAGGGATGGAGGTTTTGGAAGCTCAGTTTAAGCCTGGAAGCGAGCAATCTAGCACCTGGGCTGCAGCTCCCCCCACCCTCCGCCAACACCCATTGTCCAGACTTCCCAGTGGGGCGAGGAAATGGCCCCAATTCATCTTCAAGAAAAAGATAAACAAAAGCACCCCGCCCTACTCGCTCAAGACTACAGTATCCAGTTAACAGAGTCTAGATCCTTCCATGAGGGGAGAGCAGACTTGAGGCAGTGTTCACTCTGGGAAAAGGTGGAGGAAGAAGAAAAATGAGATTTTTTTAAAACAAAGAACAAACCCCATGGTACAGAAGACAGAGCTATGACCGTTCCCTAATCGAACCACATTTATTAAAAATGACTAAAACTGTACATAAAAACCCACGATCTCTAAAAAGCCTAGAGGAGCTGTGGTATCAGATTGTTACTGTTGTTTGTTCACATTACCAAGGTGGGGAGTGGGGATGGCCAGGGAAGAGGAGTTTTCCTTAAACACGGATCGAGTTAGTACAGAGTAGCTGCACACATTCTTAACTATCTAAGAAGTAAACAGAATATTCTCCAATACGGGGATGATGAAACTCTCCCCTGCAGCTGTTGTTAGATGATTTGCAAATTCTTTACAAAGCCAAAGCACCAATTTTACGTTATCTGAGACACCTACAGAGCCTATTTATACAATATATTCCACATTATTCTACAGTGTATCTAAACACACACAACTGTACAGTTAATGTTTTCTCTTTTTCCTCTTTTTTTTTGCGGGGGGTGACTTCCTTCCTCACTCTCTCCTGAGTCCTACTGGCTACCTCAGCACACAGCAGAGGTCTAGCGTGTCTCAAGTGAGGCAATCCTGGACTTGGGCAGACATGGTTTGTTTCCAAAGCCTGCGAGGAATCAGAGTCAGGTAAAACCAGCACTTGGACAAAAGTCTTTCTTGACTCCCAGGCCTAACAGCTTTTGCCCCTGGCAGAAGGTTAATAGCAAGAAGTCGCCTGTTGAAGCCTAAGGCCCAGTCCTTCTTTTCTGGAAACAAAACACACTGACACTCTGGGCACCTACTTGCTTAAAGATTTACAATTAGAAACTGAGAGCCAAAGATTGTAACTCCTTTGATAGAGCTGGGCACTCAATCTTCACAACCTGCATCTCTGAAAGTTTAGTGTCGCCAATAAATAAAACCAGAATGTTGGACTATCCTTCGAGTTTTAAAACACTCTACCAAGTCCTCCATTAACTTTATTTTATAAAGAAAAAAATTGCTAGGTTTGTTTCAGTTACCTGCAACAATCAAAAAGCTTTGGCACCTTCTTTTAGAGAATTGCACAAAACAGGATGCATCAAGGTGGAGGGCAAACGTCTTTTTGGCAACCTAGGCAAAGAAGACAACAGAAAACACCACCACGTCCATTTGCAAAGAGCTAATGCTTACAAGATTAAGGTAATTCTTTAGGGAGTTGTGTAAAAAGCATAATATCCCCCCATGCCTTTTGAGGTGTCTTTACTGTACTCTTCAGCATTAATGTCCTCACACTTTATGGAAGGAGAATTTTCATTACTGGAGGTACTAGGAGACAGCCGCCTTCGCTTACAAGCACTGGTGTACACCCCTGAATCATTGGAATCTAGAGACTTGATGGAGGGGGGTGTTTCTATCCAAGAAGAGCCCATTTCTTCTTTGACTTTCTCCTTGGAGAGCTGATCTTCAGAGAACACAGGAGGGCTGGTTCTAGAGGTCCATGGTAGTCCAGCTGCCATCTTCCTCTGGTAAGAACCTCGACCTCCCCACCCTGCCATTGCAGGGAAGGTTGGGTCAGGGTAATACCCCAGGGCATGGGACGTCTGGAGGGGCAAGGATTTAATACCATATGGGAGCAAGGTACTGGAAGTATATTCGGATTCATAGGAACCGATGTCTAGTTTGTTGGTCCCTGGTTGCTGGACAGGCGTGACAAGCCACCTCTGGGGAGGGTTGGCCACCTCTTCGCTCTGTTGGGGTGAAAGGAGGCCGTTGGTCTGTGGTACGGTTCTCTCGCCATTATAATATCGGGCTTGAGGTAAAGTGTTGACAAAGGGCTCCGGGAAGAAGGACTGAACGCCGTACCGACCTCCAGGGACAATCTGATGGGATCTAGGAGAATCCGTGGGAGATGGAGTTAACCTGTCATTTTCTGAAGCGGTGTACATGCTACAATATAAAGAGAAACACTTAAAAAAAAACCCTAATGTTGTCCCCAAACAAACCACCTCCCGGAAACGCAAAGGGCTTGTGCTGTCGGGTGTCTGTACAGAGAATGCTGATGAAGGGGAAGAACAGAAGCAGAAATTACCCTGGCCAATTTTAGCTAGACTCTTGGCTTACTGGGGAAAATCGCCCACCACTTAAGAAAAAGTTGCCTCCCAGGAATTAGGAGTTTAAGCTTTGGGAAATCTACCTTTGCAAGTTCTCAAACATGGAGAACTCAGAGCCACCCTCCCTTGTCAATGTGATGGAAAGAATGCTGGCTGTGGCCCTAGAAAATCTAGATTCTAAAGAGTAGAGTCTTGCTCTTGGCTGTGTGAAAAATACATCCTCCATTTTCAGGTTTTCTTATGTAAAAAAGGGGCAGGGGAAGTAGTACCTCCTGTTCTCCTGAGGATAAAATAATGGTTCAATTGAGAAAGGAAAATATATAAAAGGATTCTTAATACTTTAAAACTCTAATATGCCTGTAATCCCAGTACTGAGTAGCTAAGGCAGGAGGATGGCAAGTTTGAGCCCAGTCTGGTCAACTCAGTGACTCAGTGAGACCCTGTCTCAAAAAAAAAAAGTTATTTAAGAGTGTAATATTTATTTAAGTTATTTAAGATACATATAATATATGTGTGTGTGTATATATATCATTACAAAAAGTCCTCCAGTGGAAATTCTAAAGCAAGATTAGTTAAGGCAAAAATAAAATAGAGGAAACTCCCAAACACTGAAAGTTGACTCTAAAACACACCCTCAGCAAAGTGATGATGCTTAAAGATGACCCTGCGAGTGTGAATGAAGGTTGCACTTACGAATCATAGTTATCCCTGAAGCCTTTCGCAAAGGGGTTATGATCAATCTTCAGCTGAGTAATCTAAAAGGGAGAGAAGTAGTCATTGAGTGCCTTGTCACACTAGACCTGGTGTCAGAGATGCCTGAGGGTCTGGGGCACTCACATCCGTGTTTTGGTAGGCAGTTACTGCAATGAACTGTGTTTCTGAGAAGGTGAAGGTCTGGGTCTTCGAGGGCTCATTCAAGTCTTCCACACCATCCTCTGTGACTTCCACAATGTGCAGTCGTGGCTGGTATTTGTGTAAAGACTGTAGGACTATCATCTGAAAATGATACAGAAAAAGAGCTGCCGAATCTAAAAAGTCCCTTGGAGGCTCAACAAGCAGATTTTCACAAATGGTATATATTTGGGGATGGGACTCCTGCTTGCTTCCTATCAACAGTTTTCTTTCTTTATGTTCATTTCTATGATCTTATGATCTTAGCATTATGACTTTTGAAACTTAAAACATAGCTTTATAGATGTATGACAAACACTCTTTCCTTTTGGTTTCCTAAGTCCCTAAAAGATTTCAAAATTTCTATTCCTAATTGTCAACTCAGTGCCATTGAATTTCAGTAAGAAAGTAAAAATAAGAAAAGTTGCAAAACAAGATTAGAAATAGGTGAGCAAACAGGTCACAAGTGTAAATATGATAAACACAGTTGGGTAATGACTCTCCTTAGAAAAGACACCAGTAGCCAGAAGACACCCCCTCCTCTTCTGTCACTCTACCTGGGTGTTGTTGTTATTTGCGCCTTTGTTATTGGTGAGTTTTAATTTCCCAAAGGAAATCTCCTGTCTCATCCAATGGGAACCAGTATTAGGAGACTCTGGGTGGACATACATTTTGTTGCCTAAGAGAAAAATGAAACAAAACACAAAACCCGAGCATATAGGGCTGTCTACAAATGGAGTCAGGGGAGGGATAAAAGAACAACATTTACAGTGCAATCTCCCTGGGGTAAAGGCTTAGGGAGGACAGGAGAACAGCAGAACTCTATTGATACCTACCACAGACCCTGTGCTCCCAGCCCACCTCAGGCAAAGCACTCATCTTAATGATCTCAAAACAGCTCATAGGAGATGGACCTCAGTCTTTGGCTTTCTAAAGTGGGCAGGGCTTCTAAAGGAAGGTGGTCTGACTTTGATGGGTGAAGGAGACCTTGGTCGAGGCTTTCTAGTGGGGACACTAGAATGCCAGAGGTACATCCCACCCAGAGGCTTATATAACTACTAGTTTCTCAAATGTAGGAGCTGTAGGAGCTGTAGGTGGCAAAGTGTGTAACAGTAGGCAAGAACTATGACTTAGCAATTCTCAGTCATCACAAACACCAGACTAATACCTCTGGATCCCAAATAAACAGGGGTGGGGGTGGGGAGAGAGCTAGACTTCAGTTTGAGTTGTCTGAGGCCAGGGTTCCATTTCCTCCCAGCCCTGCCCTGTTTTCTCCTCACCCTGCATATTATTGTCCGCTTTGCCACAGGTCACCCACTTGCCCCCCTGGAAGCGCCAGTGGTTAGGATCCGCCAGAACCACCTCTACGAATACGTTGTAGTGGGCGGCAGGATTGAGTCCGTTTATGTTGAAGCTCAAGAAAGGAAACATGCGCCTGTACAAGGGAACAGAAGCAGGAGAAGGCATTTAGAGCGGGATGCTCGAGAACGCAACCAGACACGCCCGGTTCCGCAGGCATCCCAGGGAGGGTTAGAGCAGCCCACGTACACGTCGGTAAGGAACAGAAAACCGGTAAAACGGCTTGGAACTGTGAAAATATTTTTGAAATGGCAACTCTCGGCAACTCTCTCCCACTTTTCCTAAGCAATTTGTCCCAAAGGCAGTACTTATTTCCCTAACTCAGGTGCTTCTGAGACCTCTCCCTGGTTCAACGTCTCAGCACTTTTAGGTGCTCATTAATTTCCCTCTCAGGATTCTCACAATTACGAATTTTTAAACGCTCAACTGCCCGCCAACATCGCTCACGCAATGGATGTGCATATACAGTGGATATGGATCTATATTACATAGCTTTAGACATAGCTTTAGGCTAAAAGTCTCCTGAAAGTATCCCTCTTCCAGCACCCATCCCCACTTTTCTCTCAAACACACAAACACACCCCACAACCACCACCACCACCACCAACAACAACAACAACAACAAAAAGCAAACAGCCTTTGGATATGTGTCAGGACTTTCTTGAGCTCTGAACCCGAGTCGTACCTGGCTTTACGTCCGGCCTAATGCCAACCTTCCCTGGCCAGCACTCCAGACCTTGCGCAGCTCCCACAGACGCCCTGGGGGACCCCGGCACCCCCAACTGTAGGAACCGGTCCGGCGCAGCCCTCCCCACGCTCTTCCCATCCGCGCTGCTTGCCCGCCCCGCGACAGGGACCAGCCCGTCTTCAGCACATCCGCCGGAGCGGGCAGGTCTCCTGAGGCCAGCTTTGTGGACAGGCCCAAATTTCCATTTCTGCCTCCCCCTTGTCAGTCCAGGGTAGGATGACGAGCGCGGAGGGGAAAGTGCAGTCTCAGCAGCCGGTGCGCGGACGGAGGGTACCACGGCATTGGGGATTTGCTGTCTGCCTTACTGAGCTCTAAACAATCCACTCCGAGTGGAGCCAAGAATGAATGGCCACAGCTCCCGTTCCCCCACTTTCCCCGGGCCCACACGTTCTACTTTTATCCCCTCACCCAGGGGCCCCTCCAGGCTGCTCTCACCTGCCCTGCTTCGTAATGATCATCTCAGTTTGGTGACGGTGGAATTTGAGCCACAGAGGCCGGTTGCACAGGTAGACGTGGGCACGGAAGCCAGATCCAGGAACCCCCAGGGTACCCAGTCCTCCGCAAGATCCGGCCGCTGCGGTTCCGGGGTAAGGCCCGTAGAGCGGAGGCCCCTGGCTGTATTGATAGGAGCCTGGGCCGCCGCCCCCGCCCCCGCTGCCGCCCGCAGTACTCGGTGCGCCCGCTCCTGGACCAAACTGTGCCCTCCCGGGTGGGCACACGGCTGCGGGGAATCCACCGGGGGGCAGCATGGAGCCGTAGGGGTAACGCGCGCCGTTGGGAGCCGGGTAAACAGCTCCGTGGGGCGCCCCGGCCGCTGCCTGGTACGGGAAGAGCGAGCAGGGCGCA